GCAATAGATTGAGCAATATGAATGGGCCGGGAAGCAGCCCGCGGGCCACTGGCCCTCGCAGGGCGTCTGCAGGCCCCGGTGCAGCCTTTCCGCTGGCGGTCTCCTCGGCTGAAGGTGGCCGTGCGCCTTTGGGGGTGGTGTCGCGCCCGCTGTAGCCGGCGTGAGGGGGTAACGCGGCCTCAGAGGCGGCAACGGTACTGAGCGAGGCCCGCCGGGTGCTGTGAGGATATTCCTTGGCCTTTTGGTCCAAAAGCTGAGAAAGTTTTGTTGTTGGAAAAGGGACAGAGACACCATCAGAGAAGAGGGAGCGAAGACCTTGGCGCTGACGGCGCCCCAGCGTCCATCCAGGTGACGGGCTGCTGCGGGGGGACGCGCTTTGCCCCGCAGGCGATGTGAGGATGACCATGGCCCAAGCTGGAGCCGTAGTCGCAGCTGCCACGGGACTCCTCACGTTCTTCCTGTACTCCTCCATCCACAGGGTTGAGGAGGGGCACCTGGCTGTGTATTACAGGTACTGTTCCCTGCCAGCACCTTGGTGGCTCCTGTAGCATTCCCTGGGTTTTCCTCTCTCAGCCAGGATTCATCCCTGGCTCCCGATCGCCTTGGGAGGTGACTGCTCTCTCCTGTGCTTCCCTCCAGGCTTTGATCTGAGGTGGTCAGACCGTGCTGTTTCTGCTCGCTTGCACTAGAAACAGCATGGTGGGCCTGGATAGCCTGGCTCGGTCCAGAACCATTACAAGTTTTGGTCTTTCTGAATTCTCATCTACTTTAACTCGCTCTCCTTCCTCCCTTTTTGTGGGTCACAGTTTGTATTTCAAAGCTCTCAGTCCACCCCATCTTTTCATGTCTGTTGATCTCTCCCTCTTACATTGAGGACTGTCATCTCTGTCCCAGCCAGAGTACCCACTTCGTTGTTTCTTTGAAATGAGTCTTTACTGTAGCTCTGGGCTGAGTTTCACCTGGGGCATGTAGCTGCCCCTAATAGCACCTGTAGAGCAACTTGTCAGTCCACAACACTGAGTGGTCACAGTCACTAAATGCCACCTCTTTACTAGATTTGGTTCAAATTTGAGTAAAGGAACAGAGAGATTCAACACCAGCCTTTCTGAATATTTTGCTGTTTCTGCTGTATTTCTGTCCTGTCTTTGTTACCCTTTGCAGTCATCACTATGGGCCAGTTTGCTTTGCACTGCTCCTCCCTCTAATTCCGAGTGGTTTGAACAGCACAGACCCTTGCGGGATGCTGCAGGAGACCTTACTGCACTAGAGGAGTCCCTCACTTATAGCTCTCCTCTGTCTCCTACCTTTTAATTGCTTGCCAGTCCCCATGAGACACTGTGGGGGGTTTTTGTGCTTTGGGTAAGGGACTGTGCTGAATGCCTTGTGGAAATCTAAACTAGCAGTATCACATTAACTGCTGGATTTTTCCATGGTTACCGGTAGTGAACTATTTAGAGAGGAAAATCTGTGTTCTTGAAGCTCTCTGCAGTGTTGCAGTGATGGAAGTATTTAGCAATATCTGCCTTCTCTAAAAGTTTGTTGCTCGCAGGACTGAAATGATTGTCAAGTTGCAACAGACAAGTACTATATGTAGTCAGTCCTGTTCTAGGGGAATTGGTGGCAAATTTGGTGCAGGTGAATAATGTAATTTGCGCTGCCACAGCTGTGACTCCTGACAGTTCTGAATGTATTCACTCTCGAAGCCAGTGTTTACTGTTTTCCAGATACCTTTTCCCTGTTTTCTCTCTCTGTAGGGGTGGTGCATTGTTAACTAGTCCAAGTGGACCAGGCTACCACATCATGCTCCCATTCATTACCACGTTCAAATCCGTGCAGGTTAGTATCTTCTCATCTTGGAAGAGAGTGAGTGAGAGCAGGTCTTGGTAGGGCTGTCACTGGATGGGGGTGACTTGGGCAACTGGTGTTTGCAGAAGGGCTTGGGCATGTCATAGTCAGAGCAGCAGCTCCTGTGAAGTCCTTGGTTCCTTCTGCCTTAGGTGCCAGACCCAGCTGTGCCCTGGGACTTGTCCTTTTTGTGGAATCTCCACAACGTGCATGTGTGTGGCTTGAGATAGGAGATGTCTTGCTCTGTGAGGACAGTCTGTGTCTGAAGCCCCAATTGTTCCCCAGGAGAACTGCAGGCCTTAGTGCCGCGGGAGCTGAGAGTGGGGAAGTGAGCATAGCTGCCTTTCTGTCTCCAGAAGGCAGTTAAGAAGTCCATCTTCTGCCCACACCTGCAAAAGTCAGAAGGGAGAACATGGTTTTGACTCCACGTTCCTATGTAATGGTTGTGAGAGTCTGGGCATAGCATGATCTTCCTGGAGAATGGAGTGGTTTTGTGAGCACTGGTTGTCTTTTTATTTCAGACCACGTTGCAGACTGATGAAGTGAAAAATGTGCCTTGTGGGACAAGGTATGTTCTCCCTTTGTATGTCTCCTGGTGCTGAGCAGATTTACTCTATTCTGTAGTTTGCATCTAGTCATTTACAATGCTGTGACATGGAGGATGAAAAGTAAAGGCATGTATCCTAAAATTAGTCCCAAACATACATACCTCACACCTGGAAATAATAGAGCAGGAGGTATGGGATGGAGTGCTCTTATTTTCATTGAAAGTGATGTTCAGAGGGTATTTGCATTTTTCTTGGTTTCTTCCTTGATTACTGTGGTAGCCCATTGCTTGTGCTTTGCTCTGTCCTCAGCTTTGCAGTATTACTAGTCTGAATCTTGTGGCTCATACAAGCACTGAGCCCAGCAGTGGGCAAAAGTAAATGGTGAATGGGAATTCTGATGGGAGAAGGTTCATTTCAAAAACACCTCAGGAAAACGAGTCTTCTGGAATTGTTTGAGCATTTTTGGAATTGTCATTTCACCTGATGTGAAGGGTGAGAAAGAATGAAGAATCATCCTGTGCATGGGTGGCACCTGCCTGCTTCATAATTAAGATAATCCTTTTGTCAACACAGATCTGTATAGTTCTAATGAGCACAGCAGTAACAGGAGAGGGCTAGTTGAGTTGGGTTGCAAATCCTGTTGTGTTGGTTCATTCACCAGTTGAAGTGATGACTGAATCTGTTTCTTCAAGATAAAAACAAAACTCGTGATTCTCCTTTTAGCTTTAAGGTACTTAACAATATTTCTCTTTAAAAAAAAATAGTATCATTTGAATGACGGCACACAGCGACCATGTTGGAATTAAAAGTTGAACATTAGTGGCAACATTAATCAAGCAGAGTTAATTTTGATCTGGTTTGGCCCTTATTGGAATGAGTTCTTGGAATTATTCCTGTAGCATCAGTCATCACTTGTGCTTACATATTAACATAAAGTTTTCCTGGGCCGTAGCTGGTTTTAGTTTTAATTCTCAAATCTCTTTCAGGAGTATCTGTAAATAATGCTAGTGTTCAGTGCTGCAGCCATGGCTTTGTGATAAAGAGTCTAGGTCAAGCGAAAAGTAATTGCAGGAAGGAGGAGTAAGACTCATTATGTTCTCTATCTGTAGCTTTTAAATGGTTAAAAAGTTGAAAATACATCATCAGAGCAGTTTTAGCAGTGAGTTTAATGGCAACTTTTAGCTTGTAAGTAGTATAAATAGGAGTAATACTTAACCTTCTGGACATTGTAAAACACCATCACGTCTCTGGGCCAGAGAGCATGTCCTGCTGTCCTGCAAGCCTCCTTAACAGAGCAAGCAGAACTTTCTGCTGAAGCTTAACAACGTTATACATGCTAACACAGTCAAAATCAAACTGTGCTGCTTTGACCCTGCTTGAGCAGGGAGGGTGGTCAAGGCGACCTCCAGAAGTCCCTGCCAGCCTCGACCATTCTGTGATTTAGGAGCTAAATATTCTGTTTAATTCTGTATAGTTAGTTCATTAAGTTCCTGTTATGTTTAGCATTGCAGGATCTAGTTGTGCAATACAGGTAGTAGTGAAGTTACAGGTAATAAACATGCTTTAAAACACCAAACAACTGGTGAAGCAGTTCTTAGTTAATAATTGAATACGTTTCAGACCAAAGGTCCCAGCAGCCCTGTCCGTTTTTAAGGTGTTACTGCAGGAGCCTTTAAATTTGCTGCCTTTGGAATCAGTCTGCAGCTGCTCCATGCCGAAACATTGAATCCACATTTCCTTAATAAAACGTTAGCTTATAAATAACAAACGGATCAAATCTGAAACTTCACTATCCTGGTTTAAAGTTCATTGCAAGAATCGATCCTAAACAGTTTAAACTTCTGTAATTGTATATTAAACCATCAGATTTTAAAGGCTGGGTTTCTGTTCCATCATTCCTGTTTCCTGGATCCTCATCTACATGAGACAGCTTCCGAATGGCTGTGTGGGTGTCCCATCCCCAATTTCTGCCTTACCTGTCCCGTTTATACTTGACAGCATTAAGTCAATACATTAAATACAGATTTTAAAATACTTTGGCATCAGATGACTGTTTTTCGTAAAACACCTGTCACCTCGGAGACAAAAGCCACTTTATTGCAGCAGGTAGAACATGTATCTGCTCTAGGCCGTGAATTGCCCCTGGTGTCTCAGATTTCTGGCTTTCCCCAATGTGTAAACGTGTGCACAGTTCCTTGGGAAGTTCAGCAGTTTGCTCATGACAGGTCTGCTGCTCTCTAAAACCTGAAACTAGTTATAGAAGAGTGAAGTATTCCAGAGGACTGACTCTAAGAATTAACTGAGAATGAATATGCTCATGAATATATGAATTGCGGAATACAGCAAGTGGGTTGAAAATGGTGTTGTGGAGATACTGCATGAGGGAATTAGGTAAGTAGCATTTTTCTTATAAAATTAACTGGAAAGAATCAGGCTATATGTTGCACAGGTTTTCACCATGCCAGGAAACAATAGATAGTCAGGATACTAAGCAGTAATATTGCTCAAGCATTAGGTGTTTATTTGCAAAGGTGCAGGAATCATCCTGTGCTTGTGCTGCAGATCTCTGGCAGGAACACAAGCAGAGCACTGAAGGAATGTTCTTCTGGGACAGATCGCTGCCTGTTAGCTAGTCACATGAAAAAATGTGTCATGAATATTGCAAGTGGATGTCTTGCACTTAATTCCTATACCTCTAGACAGACCAGATCTGACGTTTAAGTCCAGTTTTTACATTCTCTGATTGCCTGACTTGGTCTGGTCTTGTTTGTGGTCAGCTCTAGCAATTAAAGCATTAAACTTTCACCTTTTTTTACCGTCCCCTTTTTACGGCAATGTCCTTCAGTTTTTCCTTTGTCTTCTTGCCTGAAAAACCTAAAGTCCTGAAATGTATGAGGCTTTCTAAGCTCTACTGAAATGCTTGCTAGTGTATGTTAGTCCCCTGTACACTTTGACCTTGTCCTGTAAAGTTAGGCACTTGCTGCCTACTTACACTTAAACTTCTCCCAGGTGCATACAGTCTATGTGTTGATCCTCCTTTCAGATTTTCTATGGATTTCCTCTTGTTTCTGTCTCCCTGACCAAAAGCCTGCTCAAGTCACTGCTGCTCTGCCTGACCAGCCTCATGTGCTAGCTCTGCAGTGAGGATCTTGGGGGGACATTCTGAGAGTGGTAGTCACTTACCGCAAAGGAAAGAGCATTGTCTGAACCAGTGTTTAAGCCGTAGGTTCCAAAGGGAAGTAAAGCAGCTGTGGATGATGGGAGGACTTGTACAGTTCCAGGTTAACAAGGTGTGTGAATCACCCTAAATCTTTGTGATGCTCTACTAGAGCAACTGTCCTGAAACTACCCAGGACAGTATCTCCAGCACTGCAGGAGTTTACTAACGTCTTCTGGACTGGGCTGTTTGAGAGGAGGTCTTGTCTGAGAAGCTCATTTTTAAGATCAGAGGGTTACAGTCCAGTTTGGCTCCTGGTTTTACAGCATCAGGGTCCAGAGGGTCCACTGCACAGGGTGATGATGGCTCCAGCAGCTGGATAGATGGATGGAAAATGCAGTGTATGTGCTTTGTAGGCATGGTTTAACCTTAAGCTCTCAGTGGGGAAATGGGTGGCTGGCATACTGGGGCTCTGAGTGTCAGCTGTTTCCTCCAAGCCATTGTCTGACCAGCAGGACTGATGTAATTCACTTATGCCCCACTCTCTTGACCCATGGTGGTTGAGATCCTTGGCAGGTTTTATGGGTAGTGTTGGTTGAGTCAGACAGGCATCAGGCAGTCCTCTGGTTTGAGGTGCCAGCCTTTCCTGTATGTGAGATGGTGAGGGGCTGTTTTAGGAGGCAGGTTGTCTCAGGTGCTCTCTTTTTCCTTCCGACATTACCATGAAGCTGAAATGCCAAAAGGACCCCAACATAGAGTTGGGCAGTGGAGGAGATTCTGGTAGAAGAAATCCACATGCTCTGCTTTGATTGCTCATCAAGATGTCTAGAAGATACCCCAAGATGGTAGCAGGTTTCCCTGTCCTGGTGGAGATGTCATAAGGTAACTGGAACAAATCAGGAGGATGAGAGCAGCTTCAGAAGATCCTGAGGAGTGCTGTTGTATGACACTGGCAACAATAAACAGTCATTTTACTGTATATGTTGTGCAGAGCAGATGAGATTGAGAAAAGTGCACATTGTAACTGCTTACACAGCCTGACATACCTATAAAGTATCCATAAACCTGTCTGTCTTAAAATTAATAGTAATGCTTCTTAGGAGAGTGCCAGCAAGAATACCCATGGCCTAAAGAGAAATCATGAGTGAAAAAGAGATTAATACTCTTAATAGTAGTATCTCAGAGGGGAAATAAGTCTCTTTTTAGCCACAAATATATTTTCTGTTGGCTTGTTCCTTCCAGCAGACAACTCCAGGCTATCACCAAGGTTTTTCAGCTCATGAAGCAGACAGGTTTGGAGAGTAAATCCAGGCTGTGCCTGGGAGATTATTTTTTTTAAAGAGCACAGACACGGACAGGGCAAGTTTGGGTGATTTTTTTTTGCAGGCTTAGCTTTCAACTGCCAGAGATTAAGATCTGCAAAATGAGAAACCCGGTTTGTCATGGGCTATATGTTTGAGTTCAAACACCACAGAGACTAAGTTTGGAAATGTGTGAGGTCTGCTTCTGGGGGTCAGCTGTCTCTAAGCAGTTTCTGCTAAAGCTTCTTGTTTGTGATTTGCCTTTGCCCTCAGGACAAAATCGTAAGATACTGTGCTTTAAAAATACACTCTCAAGAGACTTGGGAGCTGTTGAAAATTAAGGGTTTTTTTCTTCACCGTAGAGTGTGGGCTTTTCTCCGCTGTCACAGGTACTGGGGTGTGGGCATGACCTGCGGAAAGCCACATCAGTAAGAGCAGAGCCTGGGATCAAGCCCTGCTTCTGATTTCCAACTTCCTCAGCGGGTCTGGCAACACATGATCCCTTGGGGAGAGGTCTGCTTGCAGGCTTGGTCTGAAGCTTCTTGACAGTGTACATGCCTGGGCATGTGTGCACTCTTGCAGTGTTAGTGGAGAGCTACTTGCAACATGACATTGAAGCAGAGAATGTGAATGTATGTTGCGTGCTTTGTTTCTTCCTTTCTGACAGGGGCCTTGTCAAGTTTGTGCTCGAGTTAGTAAATGCAGGAACTTAAACTAAGGGCTTTTCTACTTAAAATGTATTTGCTGCTTAGAACAGTTGCGGTGCATCTGCAGTTTGTGTCTGCTCTGCTGCTTGCAGGTGTCATCTGCTGTACTTGTTGCCTTACCTTCATTGTGCTGGACTCCCCCTTTCTGATAGTTGCAGCTACATTTCTGTTCAAAAACATGTTTCTTTTGCTGGCTAAGTAGGAGATAAGTGAAGCAAACTTTTGCTTTCCAGACTTGCTAGAGCACACTTTTGACTTATACAGAAAGAGGGACCAGTCTGTACAAAGCTGGGGTTTGGTACCCTCTAATTGCAAAATGCTCAAGAAGTCAGAATTGTTCTGGGTAAGTTTAGTAGAATTTAGTAAAAGAGAAGTAAAGATGGCTTTGCCTTAAATACAGACCACTGTTAACAGTTGCAGTAATTAATGAATTCTCTTTTTCACTTACAGTGGCGGTGTTATGATCTACATTGACCGAATAGAAGTTGTGAATAAATTGGCACCGTATGCAGGTATTTCCTGTCCTGTTTCAACAAGCAGTGCTTTGACTATCTTCACTCATCCTGTAGCAGCTCTGCCTTGGTTTGCAAGACTTTCATTTTCTGTGTCTTGTTATCCTTATGGATCCCAACACCATAGCACTTAGTTTCATGCATGTGTCTGCAAACTTTTTGAAGAGCCAGGCATTTGCAAGATGAAGATAAATTCTAGGATTGCTTCTCCCCTGTACATTTAAAATGTGATGTGTACTTAAGCAATCCTATTTCTTGCTGCTGAAGGGTGGACCACCTGTAAAAGTAAATACACAGGAAAAGCCCCCAGGTGCTTGCCAGCTCAGTTCCTGGGAAAATTACAAAGGCAAAGTCTGTGTAAGAGCCTCTTACCTTCCTATTTCACCAGCTGCCAAACAAAGATCCAGACAGCTTCTTTTTTTTCAGCAGCATAACTTAATGCAAAATGCTACTATTACTGAGGCATTGAAGGCTGAATTCATGTTCTAAATGTGGGAATGATACTTGTTTTCACTTTATAGTAGTATCTGTTTGTATGCATGCAGGTCCTGGACAGGCTTTACTGTTTCATTTGTTTATACAGATCATAAAACAGAACCATGACCATGCGGTGTATCTGACTGTAATTACTCTGCTCTTTGAGGTCGTACAATCACAGCAGCCCTGGTGGAGGGGACCTCTGCAGTGTCTCCTCTGATGTCCCTTCTCTTCACAGCAGGCTTCTCACTAACAGCTGGGCCAGCCAAGTCCTGAAAACTCCTAAGGATGGAGACCCCCTTCACACACCCCCCATCCAGTGCTGCACTACTTTACTAATACTCTGAGCTGTTGTTTTGCAGTTATGGCATTGCAGAAAGCAATACATGTCAGTGGTGACCTGTGATCATTCTCTTACTTTCTCAGTGTATGATATTGTGAGAAATTACACTGCAGACTACGATAAGACCTTGATCTTCAATAAAATTCATCATGAGCTGAATCAGTTCTGCAGTGCCCATACCCTGCAGGAAGTATACATTGAGCTGTTCGGTAAGTGGATGGCAGCTGGATGCACCCAGCGAGGGCCGTATAATCTCCTTATTCTGCTGTCAGGTATGTTACAGCAGACTCCTGTGAGCAAACAGCCACTGTGCTGGAGTTGCAAACTAGAATCCAGCTCCTCCTATATATCCATATGCCACTTCCCATGTAACTACTCATTAATGATTCAGATTTCTTTGTCTTTCCACATCTGCATGTAAGAATTTGATTTCAGTCCTTTTCTGGTTAGGACTGAATTCTGGACACACAAGGTAGCCACTCTGCTCTTGTGCATGCAGTCATGCCATTGCCTTCACTATGATGGTGGTTTTGTCTTGTCTACTTCTACTGTTAGGCCCCTGTTCTGTTGTTGAACTGACTTTTTTACTTTAAAAGCTTCCTTCTGGCTGTTTTTAGCAAGTGAGAGCTGGAAGATAGATGCTCTCAGTTCATTGCAATAGTTTAATTTTTTCACAAGGGGGTAGCAGTGTTCAGGAATTAACATATTGAATGTTCTACTTCTTGGTATCTACCTGTGCCCACAAAGACACAACAGCATCACATTCTTCATTGAATGGCAGAGCAGGGGAAAATGGGTTTATGGAAGATAAAACGTTGTCAGGGTTTTAATATTAAGAGACTGAATCTTTGAATGCTGTATTCAGACTTGCCAAATATCTGTACTCTGAGAGGAGTTTCTTGGTAGTACATGCGGCTTAATCTGTTCATAACTGGCCATTTCTGTGGAAGGATCTCCCTGGAGCTTGGAAGTGACAGAACATGGGTTTTCTCAGTAGCAGGTACTGGATCCTGCAGGTTATTAGAGACTTAGGGCAGAGCTTGCTGCTGGCAAGTGGGGTTGGTGTGGGTCTGGCCAGGAAGGCAGAGGCTTCTTCCACAGGCTCTGGGTGCTTTTTCTTGCTGAGATGCTGAAAGCCATTTGCCCTTAGCTCAGATACTGTGAGTTCATCAATAGCTGAACCTTTTTAGAGACACCAGCATGTGAGTCTCCTTTCGGGAACTTTTTCCAGGGTATATAGGAAGGGAAACAATGTACTGAACAATCTCAAAAAGCATCTTTCTCTTACGCCATAGAGATACCTGCTCTTCCAGGCCAGCTGACTCTCTGCTATACAGGATGTAGGAGAAAAGATGGTAAGCTAAGTGGTCTCTCTCTTGTCCTCCAAACACAGATCAGATAGATGAGAATCTGAAGTTGGCCCTGCAGAAAGATCTCAATGTCATGGCACCAGGTCTCACCATCCAGGTAGGTTCATTCCATAACAAAGATTATTCTTTTTTCCACCTCTAATTTGCTCACCTTCCACTAGATTGAGGAGGTTTCTTGTTTCCGTTTTCCCCATAATGCGAGTTGAGGTTTGTTAGTTGAAGACTGTCCAGATGACAGTGACCACTTTTAAACACTGGTTTTATGTTAGGGGAAGACCTACAGGGTAGAGAGAATGACCTTTTGGGCCACAGACCTGCAGGTTTTGGATTAATTTACAAAGAGCAAGAAAATATTTAACTACCTTTGATACCCCTGCAGAGCTGGGTGCTCCCATGTGCCAGTGCAGTTCCTGCAGGTAATTGGAAAAAGAAAAAAAGATTATCATATTATCTATGCTTGTGCCAGAGATAGGAAAAGTTGTTATGTCCTGAGTGATTTTCTGCTTACACTTAATGTTAGAAAACCATGTTTAAGTTTAGCTGGGCTCTGGGACATACTGGCTTTTTGGCTTGTTGAAGTTCAGGGCAAGCAACTGGGAAAAATATACCTTAGTCTTGTGAGGGCTAAGATGAAAATCTTTGTAGATTTACACTGAAAGGAAGAGTGAGACCAAATCTGGTTTGCCATTTTTGTTCCCACATTTAGGTAGGCTGGCTGGCTGTGTGTGGGGAGGGAAAGCCTCCCATTGACAACATGTGTAATGCTACAATAAATACTGTTCTGCTTTGTGGCTCGATTCTATGCGTAGGCTTGCTCTGTTTGAGGGTGAACCACAGGCAGTACCTTATCACAAAGAAGCTGAGATGGCACCACTCTTCCAGTTATCCAACTTAACTTGAACTCTGTGTTGCAGAGAGGTTTCCTACAAAAGTTCATCATTGATCAATATTATCGTCATAATGTAAAGGCACTCTTTGATCTCAGGGTATGGAAATGTGTAAGCAAAGCTCATGGCTCTTTGCTGGGAGATGTTAATTACAGAGCTAAATCTGATCTCAATTTGGCATGCCCAGTCATCACTGTTGGTCAAAAGTTGAAGGATATTCTGCCTGCATCAGCCCAGTCTGAGCTCACCAGACCACCAGTGTGAATATGTCCCATAACTGGTGAGTAGAGTGGTTCATCTCCAGTACTTGAGACTGATTCTGCCCTCGTGTTCCAATAGTTCCCTTTCAAAACAGAGCTGCACACTTGTCTCCAGTAAAACTGTACCTCAGCATACAACTTGCCATATTGTTGTGTCTCTTGTGAGGAAATACCCTGCTCCTTTGGTGAAGAGCTGAGCTTTCCTTAAACTCCTCATATAACAGCTGCATAACCGAGATTACATTAACTGTACTTATAATTAAATTGTTTTTTGAGCTCTAACGGAAATAAATCTGTATTTGAGCATAGTGCTTTCCTCTTGAAGAGCATGTTTACATACATGAGTACTTCAGAGATCACTGACAATTCACTTTTGAAAGAAGTGTCACAGAAAACAATTATTGAAAACATGCTGTTAGAGGAGATTCACAGCATTTATTTCTAGATTTATTAAAACTAGACAATTGAAACCTTCAGAAGTCCCCCAGGTTGCCTGATGCAAAACTTTCCTAACTGTTCCAGTTCTTGCCTAACTGGAATGGTGACCACAGCCTGAAGAGAAGTGGAGGCTAGTGGATGGTAAGAAGGGTCAGTGTCGGCAGGTAGGCTCCTGCACTTTCCCTGTGAAAGCAGCACACCCTAGGGCTTGTCTCAAGTGTGTGGACAGAAACACACCCATTCTGGGAAACAAACCTGAGAAGCTGAAAACCTTTGCGCATTTGTGGTCCCCAGGGCCTGGTGGAATAGCTTATGTGAGTACAGTGCTGCTGTGAGTGGCTACAGACTCTCGAGGGAGGATGAGCTGAGAAGGTGAGGCAACAGGGTTGTGCTGCCTGCAAAGGACTGGCTCAAATCATGGAGCTTGGTTTAAGGATGGATGATGAACAGCAGAGATAAGAGCCAGTATAGGTAGGAAGCAGACCAACATGGAGGACCATGTGGTCCTTGTCTTCTGCAGACTACCCAGTTAGTAAGATGAAGTAGGGAAAGCTGCTTGTAGAAGACCAGAGGAAGCCTCATGCTCACAGATCCTAGTACTCATGGGGGTCTCTGGCCCCGGTGTCCGCTGGAAGGGCAGCAGGCCTGGGTGCAAGCCTTGCTGGATGTTTCTGAAGGGTGTTGAACAGTTTTTGGCACTCTGAGCAAAGCTGACTGGAGGAGATACTCTGCTGGAGCTTTTAGAAACAAGGAAGAACTGGTTGGGAGGTGAAGTCTGGTAGCAGTGTGAGCTGTGGTAGCTGTAAGGGAGTGAGTTCAAGGTCCTTAGAGGAGTGAGGTGAACAGGAAAGTTATGGACCTGGACTTCAGGAGGACAGAACTCGATTTGTGTGAGATGTGCTTGGCAGGGTCCTGTGGAAGACTGCCACAGTCAGCCAAGGAAGCTAGGAGGCCCCACTTCATTGCCAAGAACACCCCAAAGTGCAAAAGTCAGGCAGGTGAAAGGAGTCTGGTATGGATGAACAGGGAGCTCCTGACTGAGCTGGAAAGCAGAAGGGAAACTCAACAAAAGGTGGAGTAGGATAAATGAGCTGGGAGGGATAAAGGTGGTTTAACTGAGAGTGCAAGGGCAGAGTTAAGAAAACCAAAGTTTAGTAGACCTGGACCTAATGATGTCTGTATAGGGCAGCACAGAGGGTGTCTGAGGTGCATCCACAGCAAAAGGAAGAACCAGGAAGCTGTGGAGCAGGTCACATAGTGACCAAGGACATGGAAAAGGCTGAAGTACTCGACACTTTAGACTTCTTTCTGGCAAGGTGTGCCCTTTGGCCTCCCCATTCCTTACTGTAGCAGCAGAGCCTACAGAAGTGAAGCATTACACACAGTAGAGGACAGCTGAGCAGATGGGCACACACACAGGTCTGTGGAACCAGATGGGATGCATCCCAGGGTGCTGAGTTGCTGGACCATGCCATCATGAAGCCACTCTCTTATCTTTGAAAGATGGCAGTGGTCAAGAAGGTCTCTAATAACTGGAAATAGGCAAGTGTCACAGCAGTGAGTAAGGAGGAAGATCAACAGGAGAGAAGTACTGTACCATCAGTTCCCATTCTCTGCAACATTTACATTGGCATCTTGGTGACTTTCAGCTGCACTCTCCAGTTTGTTGGTATCCCTTATACTGGGTTCCTCACACTGGATGCAGTATCGAGATGCAGCCTCCTCAGTACCAAGTAGAGGGGCATAAAAATTGCCTTCAGCCTGCTGCTGAGCTTTTGTCAGTCCAACTCAGGATGGGGCTGGACCTTGTGGCCACAGGGAAAAAAATGCTGTCGTATAGTCAGCTTGTCTTTTGATTCCTTCATGGTTTATTTTGTAAAGCTGTTGCTCAGCCAGTTAGTCCCAGCATGTCCCAGTGCCTTAACATTTGCTTATTAACAATATCAACAGTGCACAGTAGTGTTTCCGTCTAGTAGATTTAAGTAGATATCACCATTAAATCGGTAGAGCTATTGGCTTAAAAAAAGAAAGAGCTAGTGGAGATTTTCAATGATCTGGCAGCTGTCCTGACTGCTGAGGAATCTTTGCCTGTGTTGGAAAAGCCACGCTTCTGGAAACTGATCTTTGTTTTGGTGCAGGGGGTATTATGGAGGTAGAAAGAATATCGCCCTGCAGTGCCTGGTGAGGTGAGCTTTCTCCATGCAGTACTTTTCTAGGGGCTTGGAGAGGCTGCGCTCCAGGTAGGAGCTTAGAAAAATTCTTTCGCTGAAGGATGTTCTGGTCTGATGTCCCATAAATCTGCTTTCCTTGCTTGTTCATAGAAGCAGAATAGTTGGGGTGGTTCAGCCTGGAGAAGAGACCTTATTGCAGCCTTTCAGTATATAAAGGGAGCTTATAAAAAAGATGGAGAAAGACTTTTTGCCAAGGCCTGTAGTGACAGGACAAGAGACAATGGTTTTAAACTAAAAGAGGGTAAGTTTAGATTGGATCTAAGGAAGAAATGTTTTATGATGAGGTTGGTGAGGCATAGGCATGGGTTGCCCAGAGAAGCTGTGGCTGCCCCCTCCCTGGAAGGGTTCACAGCCAGGTTGGATGGGGATTTGTGCAACCTGGGCTAGTGGAAGGTGTTCCTGACCTTGGCAAGAGGGTATTGGATTGGATTATCTTGGAAGGTCTCTTCCAACCCAAACCATTCTGAGATTCCCAAGTGTCCTGTTTTGGTGACAGGCTGGCTCCTTCTCCCCAGGCAGGGTGTGCTGGCCAGGGCCAGGGTGCCTGTCACATGGAAATGGTTCCCTTTTTGCACTGCATACAAAAACTTGCCTGGATGTGGCTGTATCCCATTCCCCTGTGTGGAAGCTGCCGGGTTCTTTACAGACTTACTGAGAGAGAAGCAGCAGGTTCAGCACTAAATCTGCAGTAGAGATGAAGCAGGGGGGGTGTAAAGCCATGGACTGTCAATCTGCATCTCCTAAAGCTCAGTAATGAGCACACAATGTGCCAGATGAGCAGCAGCAGCTCCTGGTCCTGTCTCTGGATGTTTCCCACATATTTCAGAGCGCGTCCTCCACAGAGCAGCTTAGCAGTTGTCTCTGGTGTGTATTTGAGTTGTGGTGTTGACATCACCATGCACATCACACTTGATGCTCCACAGTTGCACACAACAGTTCCCAGCTGCCACCTGTGCCCTGCTGCTCTCCCCTGTCTTCACTGCTGTGTCTCATTGTGTGGTTGCTTTTGCAAGCTTTTCTCCTAGAAAATCTATTCCTGAGCTTGTAGCTCTGCTTTTGTTTTGCAAGTCTTGATCCTGCAGTTTTATTTCTTTGGGTTTGTGAGCCCCTTTCTTGAGAAGTATATTGGGAAGTGATGTTTGAAGAGTCTTTGGGGTGGAGAACTGAGGTGCTTCTGACAAAGGTGGTGGACCTCTTTAGCAGTCCACAGGCCTTACTTCGTCACTTAGGTGCCATAAAAGGTGCAAAGACAGGAAATACAAACAACACACCTCTGTGAGAGTAGCAGGATTGGGAGCCATTATGTGTGGTCTCAGATCAATGTGGAAATGTCCAGAGCACTGCATCTCGTTTTGTAAAGACATTTCTTAGTTATGCAGCTCACATGAAAATATTTAATTTAAATACTCTTTTTTTTCATAGGCTGTGCGTGTTACAAAGCCCAAAATCCCAGAAGCTATCCGAAGAAATTTTGAGCTAATGTGAGTAGCTGTACATAAAACTGTATTAATTGGTTTTGGTCCAGCACAGGCTTAATGCTATTAGAAAAGTCTTACCTGGTGCTCAGAAGGTGAGAAATGGGCTCTAGTGTGCTTGGCTAGCACTTGTGTGTTCTGTTTCTCCATTTCCATAGCTCTTTCACCTTGAAGCCTTTCAGCCCTTCACAAAGATGGTTGTGAGCATGTACAGTCCATCTCAAGGCCATGCTCTCACTTGTATGTAAAGGGGATGCTGATCTGCTGTAGAGAACCTGTAGAAAACTTGTAAACTGAATTCAGCGCTCAGGGGTCTTGATGTCTCACCCATAAGCTCCCCTCCAGCATTGCAGGCAGATTTAGTCTGATACATACCTGTGGAGATCTCCTGTCCAAGTCCTTTCCCAAAGCAGGGCCAGCACCTCAGCTGCAGCGGGTCGCTGGGGGCTGTGTCCAGGCGAGTCGGGGCATCCCCAGGGATGGGATCCCCCACCGCTCGGGGCTCGCACGGGGACAGGCTGTTTCCTTGGGACCTGCTGGGGTTTCCTGTGCTGTAGCTTGTGCCGGTGCCTCTGGGGCTTCCGCTGTGCCCCTCGGAGCAGAGTCTGGCCCCAGTGCCTCCAGGACCCCCTTGGGCAGGGGGAGATGCTGCTGGGTCCCCCTTTGCCTCCTCAGCTCCATCTGAGCCAGCCAGCCCAGCTCCCCCAGCCTTTCCTCATATGCCTTGGCCTCCACCCCACATCTGCACCGGACTCGCTCCTTGTCCTGAGGGCCTCAAACTGTGTACAGCATCCAGATATGGTCTCACCAGTGTCAAATAGAGAGGGGGAATAATCTCTTCCATTGGCCTGCTGGCTACACATGTGCTCATACAGCCGAGGACAGAACTAGTCTTCATGGCTGTGAGGGCATGGTGTTAGCAACTGGTTGCCTTCTTGTCCCTCTGGCCTCATGTGCCCTGGTTTGCAGAGCTGCTCCCCAGCTCCCATTTCCCTGTGAAAACTTTTCTCACCCTGCAGGGAGGCTGAGAAGACCAAGCTGCTGATTGCAGCCCAGAAGCAGAAGGTAGTAGAGAAGGAGGCAGAGACCGACCGGAAGAAAGCACTTATTGGTATGTCACCAGTTAGGGAGTAATAGGGGATGGGGCCAGGCTGAATATCCATTCCTACATCCCCCAGTAAGCCGGGGTAGGACGTTGTCTTGCATCAGTGACAGCTCTCTGAAGAAGGCATGGCCAGGCTGCACCAACAGCGTGTATTTTAGAGAAGATGACTGTTTGTGCTGCTGTATCTATGTCCCACCTCCCTCTAGCAGCAGAGCAGCGAATGCCTCTGTCCTACAGCTGCCCAAGACGTGACAGCCCTGCCAGAGGAACTGCTTCGGCTTGAAATTAAACATTCCTGTACCAAGGGGACTCACGCCTGTGAAAGGGATGTCAGCCAGTGCAACCCTAGGAACATCAGCACTGTGTTTTCTCTCTGTAACTGTATTGCTTGGAGTCCAAACTGGTGCTGTAGGACCCAAGCAGAAAGGGGGGCAGCAGAGAGCAAATTGCTTTCGTGGCAGAATGCCGATGCTCAGGGCCCAAGAAATGAATGTCTGAGCTGAGCCTGTTGTGTTTGCAGAGGCAGAGAAGGCTGCTCAGGTGGCCAGGATTCATTATCAACAGAAGATCATGGAGAAGGAAACAGAGAAGCGGATTTCTGAGATTGAAGGTAACCGTGCTGCTGGGGTCATTTTCCAGGTAAGGGTGGTGGCAGGTAGTGGAACCTCAGAACTGGGCTCCCAGGCATTGCTGTCCTGCAAAAATAATAGAGGTTATGCACTGGGGTCATTCCTCCCCTTTGCAGGTACCTGTGGGACAGGGGCTCAGGTGCTCTATTCTATGCGGGTATTCACTTGATAATGCTTATTTTCCTGTTGCTGTGTTAGATGCTGCATTCCTGGCAAGAGAGAAAGCAAAAGCTGATGCAGAGTACTACACTGCTTGGAAGCTGGCTGATTCCAACAAGGTGAGTGCTTGAAAGCTGGTCAGAAGAGGACTTGTTTATATTTTCCTCTGCACAAGAGATTAGGTTCAGGTGGGCAGCACTGGAAAAACACTTGATTTAACAGCCCATGTCCCAGGAGGCAGCTGCCTGAGATGAAATCTAATGATGTGGGACCCAGAAGATTGTCTCTTACAGTCTCTGGTTTCTCTTTTTGTAGCTGAAACTTACCCCTGAGTATCTGGAACTAATGAAATATCAAGCAATAGCTGCAAACAGCAAGCTGTATTTTGGTGACCGCATCCCCAACATGTTTCTGGATTCCTGTGCCTTCCAGAAAGCCAGTGTGAGGACTGCCCAAGAAGCCAGCCTTCCTTCACAGGAGGCCTCGGAGGCCTCTGGAGAAAGCCACCTCAGAGCAAAGGAAAGCACTGGCTGACCGGGGTGGAAGGATACCCGGTATAGCTCGACAGCCAGCCCAGCTGCCAATGGGGATGTCGCCCTGTGCTGGTGGGGCGGACGCAGCGCATGCGTGGACATCTTGTGTATAGGTGGCAGTTGGGTTGATTTTCTTCTAGCAACACATTGCAAGTGCTCTGCCTCTTCCGTTTCTTCCCCTGTTAAATTGGTGCTTCCAAATGAGGGATAATCCTGTACTAACATACCAATACTGGAATATTAAAAGACAGACACCAGGAAAGCCTTCCGCAGTAGGTACAGTTATTGATCAAGCATTACTCTGGAGGTAGGAGATGTGGCTTTGAGTGTTACGTTGCTGCACACTGGTTGTTCCCCAGTGCTCCTCACTGAGGCCAAGTGAAGAGGTTTCCTTTGTTCTGATGATGAAGCTTCGCTTTGTGGACTCCAAGGCAGGTTTCTACTGGCACTATCTTAACTTTCCTCAAGGACTCCAGTGGAATGGGCTCTCTTTGGCCAGTGGAGTCTGTGTGTTCTTGCTCAGGGTGAGGCCTGGCAAGGAATGGTTTGGTGTGGAATATATTATTTGAATAGGATCTGCATAGCCATAATCTTCTTTCCTGTAGACAGTGGCACTAGATAATGACTTGGAGCAAGCAGTCTCTAACAGCCTTCTTTAACTCCCCCTCTCCAAGCAAGAGCCGCACGCTGGCTGCCTTGGAGTGACTGTAGTACGTTTTGTCTGGGCGGCTGGGTCTTGCTGTGCATCCTAAACAAGATTTCAGAGTGCATGGAGTACCTCCAAGCAGCTGGTTGGGAACAGAGCGTGGAAGTCTGCTCAGACCCCAGCCTCCTCGCAGGGAGAGGGGGACCCCTCCCTCTTTTCACCAGGGAAAGGGGGCAGAATTTCCACTGCTCTGCCTTGCTGGCAATGTGAAGGGGAAGAGTGAAGGGACCCTGCTGTGCAGCAGACCAGATGTTTGATGCCTCAGCTGCAAAGTAGGTGAGGCTTCGTTGCTCTGCAGTGCAAAATCTGATGCTCCAAGAAGTGGGAGCTGCTCTGTGTGTCCTTGAACAGCTGCAATGGGGAGTCTGTTGCTGGTCCTCACCACTGGCCAGGTTTCACTGTTTTGCAGGGCTTCTGGCTCACGAGCGGTGTTGGCAGGGTGATCTTTTCTCCTGGTGTGTGTTGTAATATATCCTACCCCTCCCCATGTGCTTCTGCAGGGTGAGAGACATGCTGGGGGTAGAAATCTGCTGATCTGCTTTCCCCTTCTGCCCTCCCTGCTGCCTATGAGGATGTGCTTGTTTCTAGGACCTGTTTCTCGTGTTCTGTGACAATCCCAGAAGACGATGGCTGGGGAAACAACTGTCAAGAGCTTGAGCTGGGATGGGGCTCACGCTCCAGCGTTGCCTGTCTCTGAACCCACCATGTCTCCAGAGGCCCCCTCTCCCCTGCCAGCCTGGGGTTATCTGCATGTTCATCCTGCTTTCCTGCCCCTTGGGTGCAGCCACGCACAGCACTGGACCCTGGGTTGGTGGTGATGCTCTAGACGCTCGGCTGGTCAGGAGTGACAGGCCAGTTGGTGCTGGTGTTCAGATCTTCTGTTCCCAGCACCATCTGCAGCCTCATGGCATTGGGGGGAACATGCTTAGCTTTTGCCTTGGTGAAACATTCAACCCAAACCAAATGATCTGAGCCTCTGCTAATGATTTCCCCAAACATGTTGTGTGGGTTTTCAGGCTTTCCAGTGCTGTTTTCTGGTCCTGTGTGACTTGACAGAGGATGGCAGTGTCTCTCCTCAAGTAAGTTTAACTACACTGCCTTACCATGTCTGAGCTCCTGCCCTGGCTGCTTCTCCTCCATCTCTGGGGCAGAGCAGGGATGCCTTACCCTGCCTCTCCTGCTCCTGCTGCTGGCCAGCTGTGGGACTTTGCAGCAGTTTCAGATGGTCTTTCTTTATGAAAACTCCCAAGGCTCCAGCTTCTTTAAAACCCAGCCATGGCAAGAGCCAGTGGAGTTGCATCTTTGAGCCTCCACCTCCTCAGTGTTGCTGGCTTGCAGCAGAAACAGCCTCTCCTTGCCCCAGCAGTAGCCACTTCGGTTGAATTTTAAGATAAAGGCAGGCTTTTTAGAACAGAAGCACTCCTGGAGGAGACATAGGCTTGTCTGTGTTGTACTCACCCAGTGCTGGCGTCAAACCCTGGTGTCAGGATGGATTCTGTCAGCCTGGAGGTGACAGGAAGCAAGGGCATCGGGGGAACCACTAGAAGCAATAACCAGGCAACTCACAGCTCTCCCAGTGATCAAAGCAAGCTCCTCAGGTGAGGAGCAGGAAGGCCCTCCAGGCCAGTGCAGGAAGGGCTGCTTCCCTTTGGATCTGAGCCTTGCTGGCCTCCCTGTCACCATCCAGGTGGATGCATGGCGTTTCCTTTAGTGGCTGTCACTTTGGCTCAGTGTCATCCTGCCCTGGTTTGGTGTGCATCAGCCACCTACCCACGTGGTCTGAGGGACACTGCAGGATGCTCCTGTGGTGTGAAGTCCTGCAGCAAACATGTGTGTGATGCTCAGTGCCTTCTGCAGCAGCCTACTCCATCCCTCTGCTTCCCCAGCCACAGCTTCAGAAGCCTGAGTAGGTGTGCAAGAGGAGGGAATTGCTATGGCTTTAACTCCCCAGTCTGGGCTTTGCTTCTCTCTGGGCTGGGAGGGAACAAGGGTGCAACCAGGAGCGTGGACTGGAACTGTTTTTTCTGTCCATTTGAAAGGCCCATGTGATCCTGTGACTAAAGGGGTTTGCCACTGGATCCACACCTTCTTTAAGGAGACACGATACACATGTTCAAGTTTACATGCACAGTGTTAAGTTCTTTTGATAAAGCAGAATAAAATTATTTTGTTACCATTTCCTTCGTGGCTTTATGTGTGTTAGGGCCAGTGCCACTGCAGGCAGATTGAGGGGGGACATCTGTGCCTCTCACCCCCTACCACACAGCATCTAGTTGCATGTCCCCAGCTGCAGTGACTGCCACCCTAGGAGTGCAGGCTGGTGCTGAGCAGCAGAGGCGGCACTTTCTGGTCCTGCTGTGTTTTTGCTCTCAATCTCCAAAGCTCGTGGTGGGAGCTGAGGCCTGATGGCCTTTAGGCCACCACCTGAGCTGCACAGTCACTTGTATGTGGCCATGGTGGGAGCCTTTCCCAGACAGGCATGGCCCTGGTGTGTGAGGAGTGTTCTTGGGGCCCACGGGCTGCTCTCTGGGCACTGATGTCACCTGCAGGCACAAATGCTTGTCTTGGACCAGGGGTAATGGGAGCAGAGCTGATTGTGGGAGTTACGGTGGCCACTCTTTGTTCATGGAGCGAGCCTGGAGCTGGGGGATCATGGGGATCCACTGCAACATCCTCCAGCCCCTGTGCCAGCCTCTGTGATGGCCTTGCTGAGTGCAGCTGGCAGAAAATGCCACTTGGCCCCCATGGCTCTGGCACAAGCTTTGGGAGCTCAGCTTGAGCCCTTGCCCACCCTGGCTTCATCTATGCCAGATCCACCCTGGGCAGCTCCCTGCCTGCTGCCTGCATGGCCCCCTTCTGCGGAGAGACACCCTCTGACACCACTATCTTCAGTCTTTATTGGTATAAAAGCCTTTAACCTAAATTGTATCAAAAATGGGGAGGTCTGAATTCACAACAGGTGGCTCAAAGTGGTCACATAAGGGTCATAAGTTAATGGCTGCAGTAAAAAGGTTCCCAGGAAATTCCCTTTCAGGAGAACAGTAACTCAAGTGATGACTTCAGAGATAGAAGCCCCGCAGGGAAGCTAAGCCCAGCTTGGACCTGCCAAAGCCCCTGTCGAGATCCCTATGAGACTGTCCCCTGGGCATGGTCCCAGTGCTGCAGCACCCCTCCTGCCCTGGCAAGCCCGGGGAGGGGCAGAAGCAGGACACATTCAGGTCGTCGGGAGAGAAGGCAGCAGCTCCCAAGGCGCAGGAGAGCCCGGACCAACTCGGGACTGGCCTCAAAACCAGAGCTGGCATCACCCCTGCTCCTGGTCTCTTCACAAAGCCCCCAGCTGATGGCTCTCCCTGGGCAGCCATGAGGCTTCGAAGTCTTGTAAGGCACAACTCAAATATCTGTAAACACTGGTGCCCTCCCAGGGGAGGGTGTGATGAGCGATTCAAGTAAGGGTGGAAGCGAGACAGCAGCTCCCCAGCTGTGCCACTCCAGCGCCAGAGCCAGCAACTCCTTGGCCGCAGTGGTGAGCAGAGCATCCTTGGTCACCTCCTGGCTGGTGGTGGCTTCAGGGCCACCTTGGAGGGGACACCCCTCTGAAAGCCTGAGGCAGGTGTCAGCAGGGACTGAGGGAGGGCTGGTCCTGGTGGCCCCTCACCGTGGCACGGCACCTTGCTCTTTAGAGCCGGGAGAGGCTTGCTGGGTGGCTTTGGCTTCTTCGCCTGGTGGGAGGAGAGGAGAGACTCCAGTCCCTCACTTGGGTACCAAGGAGAGACCCGGAGGGGGACAGAGCGCAGAGAAAGCCCCCCCCCCCCAGTCATCAGTTGCCTGGGCCACCCCATGGATGCACCCCACATGCCTGGGGCTGGTCAGGCCAGGGGATGCTGGGGGGGGATGTCTGGGAGTGGCCCCCCACTGCAGGAAGGACAGGCCGCCCTGCCAGGAGGCAGCGGTGGCTGTCATGGGGGTGGCTACCTGCAGGGGCCATCCTGGAGAGGTTGATGTCACCTGGGGGCCAGGTGCCAGCAGCTGCGGGGTCAGTGGAAAGGGGGGGTGAAAGGCTGCCCGCGCTCCCTCCCTCCCACTGCGTGCCAGGGCTCTGTTCAGCTCCCTCACCTGTGGGGCCGGACGGCAGGGCCCGAGGGCCCGGGTGTCCCGCCGGGCTGCTGTGCTGCTGAGCAGCTTGGGGGGGCCGATGTCCTGGCGGGACAGCTGGCGGCGGGCAGGTCGTGTCCGGCCGCCCTCGGGGAAGAGTGGGTTGGCGAGGCCCGCGGTGGGGCCGCTGGTGGGCCTCCTGTGGGGCACAGGGACAGTGGGGAGCTGATCCAGGCACACCCCAGGGTTGGCCACAGCTCAACCCTGCTGTGGGGCAGAGGAGGGGGGCATTACCCTTTCTGAAAGTGCCTTGTCCCCCTGCCTCTGAGGAGCACGACGGCACTGCCGAGCAGGACGCCGGAGAGCGCCAGCACAGCCAGCACCGCTGCCACGACCACACTGCTGCTCCCTGCGGAGACACGGCCAGCATCGGGATGGGCACCCCCATGCTGGGGCACCCCCGGGAGTGGAGCAGTGCCCAGTGGCACCACAGCAGGGTGCCCACACCCTCCCCAGGCTTCCTCCACAGCACACGTGTGCGAGGGTACCGTACCTGCCGTCATCTCTGAAATCTTCTGCTCGCAGTAGGGCGCTGCCCAGCCTGGCTCACAGTGACACTCCCGCTTGTGGTTGCACACCTGAGATGAGGGGAGAAACCATCAGGGTGGTGGACATGTCACAGGGTCCGGGACCACTGCCCAGGCCCCACGGCTGCTTCAGGAGAGGATGATCCCACAGCATACCCCGTGGTGGTTGCATTTGGCTGAGCAGTTCTTGTTGCCGTAGACCAGGAGGTTCTGGCAGCGCCCGGCGTAGCAGACCTGGGGGCAGGCAGGGGGGGCATCTGAGGCTGCCACAGGTCCCCACGGCCAGTGGTCACACCTCCTCAGCCACCCCAGCACGGCAGCCAGCATACTCACCATCTCCTCTCCACACTTGGCGCCAGTGGGCACCAGCCTGAGCTTGGCCACCACCTCGTTGGCGTCGCTGCTGGCGATGACCGCCTTGCACTTGAAGCGGCCGAAGAAGAGGGAGTAGGAGCCACCGCCAAGGACAGGGCTGGCGTTGTCGCTCAGGCACAGCAGCGTGCCACACTTCACATCCCTGCAGGAGAAGTGGCCATGAGCACCAGCAGCAGGGCTGGCACGGGGCTGAGGAGTGTTGGACGTGGACACCCCCGCACCCCCCTCCCCAGCTCCTTACTTGGGGCTGCAGGGCCGCTTCCCATACTCGGTGAGGCAGTGGAGGTGGAGGTGTTGCTCACTGTTGTGCTTAAAGCAGACATCAGGAGCCACTTGGGCCTCTGTGGGACACATGGAAAGGGTCATGCAGAGCCAGAGCCCACAGCAAGCTGCCAGCACCAGTGCCCACACTACTGGGTCAGGGACCATAGCACCCCAGCTAGGGATGCAGGAGGGGACCACAGCCCAGCAGTGCCCTAGCCTGAGGAGTTGGGGCTCCAGGCACATCACCCAGCACGTGGGGTGAGGAGGGTGGACAGGGTGGGGGAGCACTACCTGCGCCCCAGAGCGCACGGCACTGCTCGCCGTGCGAGGGGCAAGCCCCATTGTAGCAGTAGCCTTTGCCGTTCTGGCAGGGGATGCCGTTCTCCTGGAAGACGTCCTCCGGGCACTCCGGGCTGAGGCCGGTGCAGTGCTCGGGCAGGTCACAGTCATTCTTGCTGGGCCGGCAGAGCACGCTGGCAGCCTTCACCTGCACAGAAAAGGGGATGTTGGCACTGCCTCAATGCTCTCGCATCCCCTGACTCACGCAGGCACTACACCCTGGCAGCACCTTTGTCTTCAAAACCTCTCCCAGCACACCAGAGATCCAGACACCGCAGCTTGTGCTGCTCTGGCACAAAGACATTTGCTATTGACTGTGCTACTGCACAGGATGGAGCACCATCAGGCCTTGGACTGGGTCTTCCCATAGTTAAGTCTCTCTCTTTGGGCAATACCTTGTGCTTTGTACTTGCCTCAGGGTGCTCTTCCATCTGTTAAGGCATCTGTTAAGCCATTGTGCAGGAACCAATGCATGTAACCCTTAACTTTCTCTTGAGTGAATGGGACAGAAGAGTCAGGTTGGTTTCCCAAATCAGGAACGGGCCATGCCAATCTTTTCTGAACATTGCCCAGTTCCTCAACACCTTTTATCCAGCACCTAACCTAACAGAGCCAGGGGACCAGAAAGAGAGGCTGCTTCACCTTCCCCACCACCTTCCAGGTGAGACGCTGACTCCACGTAGTGAGTGCATCGACTGGAAAGCATGATTCCTGGCCAGACTTTGGCCAGGCTGCCACAGAGGTCCTTCAGGCTCTCCAGTGAGCTGTGGACACACCTTGCCTCTACCAGGAAGCTCTGGAGGATCTCAGGGCAGGCCCGCACAAGTGCCAGCAACTTTCCCTGCCATGCTGGCCCCCCCCCAGTGGCAGTACCTTGCAGTCCTGGCAGCAGTCCCCCCGGGCACACTCAGCTCCCTCTCTCAGCTGGCAAGTGGTGGCGTTGCAGCAGCGGTCGGAGCACTCCTGTGAGACAGGGAGGGACTGAAACCCTCACAAAAGCCCCCTGAAAGACCTTTTCCTTCCTTTCTGGGGGGACCCAGTTGACACTTCACCAAGTGCCAACAGCAATGTAACCATGATGGGCTGAACCATGGGGCAAAAACCACAGCATCATCCCTGGTGTGAACCATTCCTTCTGCTTCTTTACCCCCATTACCAACACCACAGCAAAGGACCAGAGAAGATTTTTCAGAAGATTGGGCCTGACCTGGGCCCCTGCTCTCTGGTAGCACTCTTTGCCCATCTCCAGGAAGAAGACAGGAGGGTCTCTGTGCTCTCTGCACTGGGGGAGCATCCCTTCAGAACCCAGGGATTTATCCCAGACATCGCCCAGACGTTTGTCTCAAATCTCCCCCACCACGCTGCAGTGATGGGGCGCTAGGGATGCAGAAAAGCTGCTGAGCACCCCTCTTGCAAGGACAACATGCCATGATGTCCCCCTCCTTGGATCACCGCTTTGGAGGATATGCTGGAGGGATGTCCATCTTCCTTAGGTAAGCTAAAATCACAGCCAGCCACA